TTTATTTTTCAGGTATTTGTTTTTTTATCAAATCCTGCCACATGCCTTCTTCATTACATAACTTAAACAACCATTTACATAGCAAACATTTGCTTTACAACTCGGCATGGCTTTATAATTGGATAGTAACGCTAAGACCTAAGCATAGACATTTATAGATATGCAGTCACTGCCAGCATCACCACGGTGCAAGCATCTAACATGTGGAATATCACACCAACAAATACATATTACAAATTATGAGACAACCACATATCATCAATGTCCTAATATTACTGATAGCATGGTTTGGATGGCACTATAGCCTTATGCTTCTGTTTAAACAAACCATTGAATACACTAAAACCATTGGTCACACCAATAGATTACATATACGCATAAACAGCTGGCTGCAAATGGTCGAGGAAAAACAATGTGACCTTCATCTTTGTTGAGATATCTTTGACTGCCTTGTAAACAGAAAGGGCATTAGAGACAAGCTCTTATCAAACATGATAGACACTAAGATGGAAACTATTCAATTCCTATTCTGTTAGACCATGTTAATAACCTTAAGTGGATTTGTCGGCTCAAGACCCATAGTAAAACATCAATTTATGATGTATCAAACATATCAAAAGTGGAAGAGTTATGAAAGTGACAAAACCATCATGCCAAAAGTGAGAAAAGGTGCATAATGGAGTACACTGAAATACATTTGGTAATTGTTGTATAAAGCAACAAAAAACATGTCATGACACTACCTTTCTAAACATAAATGACCTCATTTGATGCATGACATACAAAAGTCAAAGCAAGAACATGTCTCAATTCTCCATGAAGTTGTTTCTCTAAATTCAAAGATATCATTTGACAAAGACAGTCGGCCGCAAGCCTCTATAAATAAATAAAAATACATCATCTGAAAATTCCTTTTGTAGTAGCCAAGCATCTCTGCTTCCTCGTGGTCACATGAGCTGCCACCATAGGGATGGGTTCGGGGTCAAGGGGAGGGATGGGGATGGGATTGGTGGATAGGAGAGGGTAGATAGAAGGAATCATTCATGATTGAGGTGGAACAAATCAGAAAAGGGACAGAGGCACATGGTTTTAGCACTCTTGCTATAACTAGTTTAATACCTAAAAATTCATAACTAATTTCTTCTAATTCAAACAAATGTGGAAGTAGCAGCAATTTTTTTTAAAATACTTTATATGTGTTTGTGATCTATTCAGATTTATTTGAAGAATTATTTCTTTTTCTATTCCTTTATTGTTTGTGGTCATGCTCATTACTTATTTAAAACAAATAACATGCAAATGTCACCACAAAAGAGCACCAACAGATAGATAACCATTTTACAGGAAAACCGGTACTAGTTTCATATTTTTCATATTTAAATAAATTTTTTTGAGATTAAACTATATTTTTATTTAAAAAAAAATAGAAAACCATCTTCGAAACTGGTCAGATGACCGGATTTATTCTGTTTCGTAGTCCAGGTTGAAAATTAGACTGTCGCTCACATGTACATTTATAAAACAAGAAGATCAAAGTAAAGTATAAAGGTAGGATGAAAACTGATAGAATACAAGTGGATATGATATGGCTATGAGTACTTGTATTTATTTTTTTATATTAAATTCAAAATGATAAGGATAGTGTCAAATATATCGAATATTGATTTTCACCCTACATGTGTATCAAATATCTAACTCTGAGTATTTAGATTCAAATATGGCATGAATATTAGATATATGAATTATCCATTTAGTATCTAAACCCTTCAAAGACATGGATATCAGGAAATAACCATCCGATTTTCACCCTTAGAGCATCTCCAAGAGTTTTTAAAATTTACTCTCTAAATCGTCATTTGAGTAAAATTGCTTTCTATATCTTTGTACCCTCCAATACCTTTTCTATATCTTGTGCGCACTCCAGAGAGCCATCCATGCTCCCGATCTTTGGCTAGCGAGAAATCCAGAATAGTGGATTCCTATATTTGCATGTTCAATTAAAGAGACTGTTAGAGGGTATTTTTTCACTAAAATCTCTATTTCTATAAATTGGAAATGATATAATAAAGAGTCTTTTGGAGTTGCTAACCCTGCACAAGAAGCTAGTTTCTCACTATAACATTTGGTGTTTTCTATTTGAAAACAATTTCACAAGTAGTATTGTTGATTTATTGGATTATACTTGACCTGCAAAAACTCTCTATAGCGATCATCGACCCATATTTTGGCTTAAATCTATTGATTTCTCCATCTACTTTTTATAATCTGAATTAAATCTAAACGACCTAGATTATAATAACCCATAAATAGATTATAATAGTCCTGTTTATAATCTGAGTTATAATTATCCAAATATAATCAATCATGCCGTATGTTATGCTCAAATTCTATTAAGAAGTCGTTCGCACAGGCCATCCTACCCAGATTGGCCGGCTATGGCTCATCTCTGTTGTAGTGTTGTGTGTCTTCTCCCATACGCAGACAAGCACAACTTTGGTTTGCGCGTTAGTGAGAATGAAGGGACCAGATAGTTAATTACTACTAGAACTAGACGACGACGGGGCATGACCAGTTGAAATTGTTTTTACTTCCTGGCATGGCATCGCATGGCCAAGTTGCCCCCTGGCCACCACCACTCGTCACACGGACAAAGGTGGCCCAGCCGAAATAGAAAAACGGAGGGAGAGTTGGTGAAAGGAAAGTGGTTTCGGAGGAAAGTGGAAGGAAACTTCATGTCGTTCCCAGTGCTCACGCGCAGAAATAGAATCCCAATGATTTGTGCCACCATCTGCGAGCAATTATCCTTGGAATTGGCATCTCCACACCACCGCGCATGCTAGCAGGCTGGCAACCCACATAGATGTCACTTAGTGACGGGAAACAAAGCTGTGCTGTGGACAGTACTAGTGACGGGTGCACAACCGTCTCAGATAAGTACATAAAAGAGACGGTTGAAAACCAGAAACTGTCCCTGATATGTAACAAATAGCGACGACTCCTAAGGCATTACCTGTCTCTGATAAGTACATAAGAGTGACGGTTAATAACCACAAACCGTCTGTGATATGTAACAGATAGCGAAGGCTCCTAGGCACTACCGTCTGTCATAAGAATAATACAGACGGTTGCCTAAAAGAAACCGTCTCTGATTTTTCACAATTAGTGACGGTACCAAACACAAATGTCTCTGGCCTGCTTAGTCTACTGACGGATATTGCTCAAGCGCCGTCTCTGATATTGCTCAAACAGAGACGTTAGCGTTAATGGAGCCCGTCTCAGTTTTGATACAGTACGTTCAGGCGCGGCTGCAGTATGCTTGCATTAGAGACAGGTTTCTTGTAGAACGTGTCTCTGACGATGCTTATCACAAACGTGTTAGAATGCAAATCCATGTCTCTTTATATGCTCATCACAGGATGGTCATGAATTTCTCATCAGTAAAGTAATTATAATTGTGCACAGATAAATAAACATACTGGCTAATTAAGTAACCAACTGCAACACGTCTCACAAGATCAATGTTTACAAACCCGCATAAGTCCAAAGTAAATTTCCCCTTGTCATTCATGCCTTCAGAGTTGCGACATCAGGAATGAGGCAATAGTTTCTAGGATTCCCAATAGTTTTCCCTTCTCATTCATGTCGTCCATATGGTTGTCCTGCACGTCTCGATCGTTAACGCCTCCCTCGCCATGGTTGTTCCAACATCGATAGTCATCCATGAAACCACGAATGATCAGGTGTGCATGGACCGTACATGAGCCGGAGTATTTCTTGTTATTCCTACAATGTTTGCATGGACACCACATAGCACTAGTTGCAGTGAGTCGACATATCCACCTCTGCTAGTGTAATGAATGACTTGAGACCCTGCAAATACTGATCACAGGCACGGTTCTTCAGATACATCCACGTATGGTCATGCATCTACAACAAAATTAAATGTTCAAAATATATACAAACCTGTGTCAGTATGCATACATATATATCTATGTGCATCTCACAATTAATCAATCATTTGATTATATTATTAACTATACAAGTAGTTAATTATTGCTACAAACCTGAATAAGTACGTTGAAGATCGTTGACCGAGAGAGATCAGGTGTATCTATATATATATAGCAGCAAAATCTTAATTAGGATATTACACCTACTAAAGAAGGGGAACAATATAATATCGATTTGCAAGAGAGCAGAGGCATGCGCAGCTAGCAGAGATTGAGTAGGGGGTATACCTATAAGCTCGATCGATCGACGGCCGGTGCGGGCGACCCATAGCCTACTGCCGATGGGAGACCTAGCAAGTTAGCTAGCTAATTCCGCGCGCTGCCGCCGGCACCCCATGCGCCAAAACGATGGCACACTGCACATATCCAGAGGCTAGCTAGGTCGATAGGGGATCCATCTAATAGCTAGAGCGTCGACTAATTGGACGAACACACCCGAGCGCAATAGGTCAGAGTAATAGTGCTCGCGAGAGAGGACACAATAAGCCGGACTGCCGTGGTATAGCTTTAGATCAATATCTAGCAAGGAGAAAGCCATCTTTGATATGACACCGATGGGGTGTAATATGCACGCGTCACTGCTACAGTTAGCACACAGACGGGGATATTCCACACGTCACTGATATTTTATTGAAAATAGACGGGCTACAATCAAAACCGTCTCTGAATTTCTAGCCGTCTCTAATACGTATTTTAGAGCAGACGGGTAACAAAAGATCCGCATCTCTGAATAATAAACCGTCTATGATATATTTTATAGAACAGACGGGCCTCAAGGACGCGTGTCTTTGATATATTAGAGACGGCTTATAGTAAGACGCGTCTCGGATATTATGTCATCAGAGATTATATTGGTTGTGCGGCTGTGGACTAATATTTCAGAGACGATTCTTTATGTCACCCGTCAGTACTACTTTAGTGACGGTGGCTGACTTACCGTCTCTGATTGACGCGTCTCATTTGTTGCTTTCTGGTACAGTGACGGGTGTGATGGGCTCCGTCATTGGCAAGCTGGCCGCCTTGCTCGGCGAGAAGTACCAGCTCACCAGAGACATGGAGCACGGGATCTGCTTCCTGAAAGATGACCTGAGCACCATGGACGCCATGCTGCAAAGGCTCGCAGACAAGGACGACGACCAGATAGATCCACTCACCAAAGACCGGAGGAACAAGGTGCGTGAGCTATCCTATGATATCGGGGTTTGCTTGGTCTTCAACCAGTTGAATATTGTTTTTACTTCCTGGCGTGACATCGCAAGTTGCGCGTCGGCCAGCACAGCAACACTTATCGTCACATGGCTTACGGATTGAGATGGCCTGGCCGAAATAGAAAAACTCAGAGAGAGAGAGAGAGAGAGTTGGTGGAAGAAAGTGGTTACGGAGGAAAGTGGAAGGAAACTTCGTGTCGTTCCCAGTGCTCAGCCGTAGAAATAGAATCGAATCCCATTATATATTTAACTAATGGGATGCGTTGTTGTTTGCCCCACTTTAACCTGAGAACTGAATCACCTATCCTCTCTCATACCACCGCACAAGCTAGCTAGCATTTCACTCAGCCAGTAGTCGCGAGTCAAGATGGCCGAAATGATCTCGAGCGCCGCCACAGGTTTGTTGGGCTCCGTCATCGACAAGCTGGCCGCCATGCTCACCGACAAGTACAACCTCACCAGAGACGTCAAGCAAGGGATCCGGTCCCTGCAAGACGAGCTGCACACCATGGAAGCCATGCTGTTGAGGCTCGAAGACAAGGACGACGACCAGATCGATCCACTCGCCAAAGACTGGAGGAGCAAGGTGCGTGAGCTGTCCTACGATATTGAGGATTGCATCGACCGTTTTGTGCTCAATCACAGCCATGGAGATGGAGGTTCCACGGCCAACTTCGTGCACAAGGCCATTCAAATGGTGAAAACGTTGTTCAAGGACAGAGGAATAGCAGAGGAGATCCGACGACTCAAGAGGCTCGTGAGCGAGCAGAGCGAGCGGGGGAAACACTACTACGACATCAATCAGTGTCTCCTCGCCTCTTCATCTCAGCCAATGCTCTTCGATCCTCGAGCACCTGCACTCTTTCAGGAGTACAGGGATCTTGTTGGAATCGATGCTCCTCGTGAGGAGATCATCAGCTTATTGAGATGTGAAGACAAGGAGCACAAGGCGGTGTCCATCTATGGGATAGGTGGACAGGGGAAGACCACTCTCGCCATGGAGGTGTACCACAAAATCACTGAAGCTGCTTTTGATAGCCGGGCTTTTGTGTCTGTTTCACAAACTCCAGATATGAAGAAACTTCTTAGAGATATATTGTCTCAAATAAGCAAGAGCCATTTTGACCAGTCACAGATGTTAGAGACAGTTGAGCAGCTCATCCGCACAGTGAAAGAATGCTTAAAGGACAAGAGGTAATCAATATTATTTCGTTTTCTAATAGTTAACCAGTTAATCTAGCGAGAATAATGCCGTGCAATATTTGTTCATCACATGAGCTCACCTAATTATTAGGCCATTTATGAAATTTTCTTGGAATTTTAAAAAATGATTCATTTTTTCCTGTCCTAATTAACTTGACAGCATAAAATTACCTCAGATACTTAAATGGCTCAGCATATCTATCAAATGTCATCATTAAAGATGTTGCAACAATGAACAAACTCAAGTCAACTGTGCATCATTTTGGTAAAAAATTTACTTTACACCATCTAATCCATATTCAGTAAAATTACTTCTTGAAAAATATGACCAGAATTCTAAATATCCATAAATATCTCATTTTGGAACTCAGCTTTTGAACTGAATGCGTCATGTCTTTTGAGTGGGTCTCTAGGTGTTCTAATGCGGCACTTACTATTTTGGAGGTTGTAACATATTTTTTAAATAATGGTAGATTACATATTGTATTTCTCATGTGTAATAATAACTAATAAAAAAGTGTGCCACTACGATCCATCTTATATTTCTCCGACATCTTTAACTTCACTAGAATACGCTTCAATTCATGGTTGCCTTACATAATTAATAACGTGATTCCACAACCAATATATGCAGGTACTTCATCTTGATTGATGATATCTGGAATGTCGATGCATGGGAGCTTGTACGATCTGCCTTACCTCGCAATGACAGGAGAAGCAGAATTATTACTACAACATGCATTGAAGCAGTAGCCAAATCTTGTTGTACTGGTATTGCTGCACAAATGTATCAAGCAAAGCCCCTTAGTCATGAGGACTCCCAAAGATTATTCTTTAAGAGGCTATTTTTGTCCTGTGATGATTGCCACCCAGATTTGAGGAAAGTATCCGATGATATTTTAAAGAAATGTTGTGGCTTACCACTAGCCATAATCAGTATAGCTGGTTTATTAGCAAACAGAAGCAAAGCAGTGGAAGTCTAGGTCAATGTATTGAGGTCTATTGCTGCTGCAGTTGACAAAGATTCTCCCATTGATAAGATGAAAAGAATTCTGCTGCTGAGTTACGTTGACCTTCCTCACCATCTAAAGAGTTGTTTGTTATATCTGAGTGTGTTTCCAGAGGATTATCCCATTGATTGCCGACAGTTGATATTGCTATGGGTAGCCGAAGGACTGATTCCTGGACAGGATAGGGAAAGTATGGAGCAGCTAGGGAGAAGTTACTTGAATGAGCTCATCAATAGAAGTTTGGTGCAGCCAGCCAAGGTTGGGGGACACGGCGCAACAGTGAAACAGTGTAGAGTTCACGATGTCATACTTGAGTTCATTGTATCAAAGGCTGTGGACAACTTTGTTACTATATGGAATGGTAATGGTTTTTCTAAAAATTCTTCTTCAAACAAGATTCGCCGTCTATCCATCCAAAAAGACATTTCTTCCCGGGCGGAAGAGATTGCCAAGATGACAAAAAATGGAGGTCAGATCCGATCCATCAATATCTTTGGCTCAAATTCAGTTCTTAAACAGCCAAGTCTTGCGAGTGCTGAATATAGAAGGTAAGGTTGGTGAATGCTCTCTTGGAAATGTCAAAAGTTTAGGTCAGTCGAAGTTCTTGAGGATATTAGACAACAAATTTTCGGCCAGCAAGCTTCCAGAAGATATAGAAAAGCTGCAACGTCTACAGACACTAAATGTGACATGGCAACGTCTTGAAAAGCTACCAGCAAGGATTATCCAGTTGCAGAAGCTAGTGCGTCTTCATGTCCATCCGATGGTGCACCTACCCGATGGAATCGGAAGTCTGCAGGCGTTGGAAGAGCTATCAAGGATCGATTTGGGTATTCAAAGGACTCGGTGATCTGACCAATCTGAAATTACTTCAAATTGATTGGCCATGCTCTATTGAATTACGTGATATGAAGGATCACAAGAAACCATCTATCTCAACGCTCTCCAGGCTGTTCAGGCACCTGCGAGAACTACGTGTGTGGCAGAGTGATCCTGATGCCACATGTTCATTCATGTCTTCGTGTGTCCCTACTTCACCACCACTTCAAATGCTTCTTCTTGATACACATAACTTAAATAGGGTGGGCCCACAAATTAGCTCACTAGTCAACCTGTCTCGCCTCTACATTCGTGTCCATGGTGAAGCAGGCAAGGAAGGAATAAATATCCTAGCAAGTTTACCCATGCTGCTCTCTCTTACTGTTGTCTTACCCAATGACCAAGATGGAGATTCAGGCATCGTCTACCTAAGGAACGCAATCAACCCACAAGGATTTCAGCGTTTGCTCAAGTTTCATTTTCGCTGTTATTGGTGTGACACGGCATTGGAGTTTGAGCCGGGAGCCATGCCAAAGCTCGAAAGGCTCAAACTGCGCCTGATGGCACGGTGCCAGTTCAAGTGGGAAGGTGGCCTGGTCCTTGGTCTGCAGAATTTAGCAGGCCTCAAACATGTCGACGTCGATGTTGACTGCTCTGCTGCTGTTGCCGACGTGGTGGAGGCGTCCATCCCAATAGTCCCATGCTCCAGGTAATAAGACTATTTTCCATGGCTCAGGGGTGCAGCAGGCGTCCATCTGACCATCCCATCCCATACTAGAAGCCCGATGACCAAGTGAAAGCTATTTCCAGTTGTTATCCACTTATCCTCATGCACTGCACGGCACCTCTGATCGATTGGACTTATCTCAGTTCGTCAGGGGTACTGTGTCTTTTAGTTCTAATAATGCTTAGACGTTTGCAAGGATTTATCTCGTTTTTACTTGGTTTCGTTTTAGAAAAGTCTGTTTTTTCTTTTATGTGTCGAGATTACTCTTTGGGGTCATTATTGCATTTCTTTATCATGGTAGCTCACTAGTTGCTTTAAACTAGTAAAGCAAAATGCATCAGTGACCCTCAATTTGTCCCGCCTTGTATATAGAAAAACTTGCAAACAATGGCTTTGACCTTGATATGTGGACCTTAAAGATATCTAGTCCAGATTGTTAGAAATAATCTGCTACTCCCTCTGTACCCGCACAGCAGGGGATGGCACAAAAGTCAGCCCTGCTGTCATATCTAGTCACTGTAGCATAGCATGACAATAGGACATGTCTGTGTACTAGGATTAGATGGGAGCAGTTAGGGGTTGGAGTACTTGTCAACCACCCTTGTACCGGGCAAGCTATGTAGCTTAGATACGGATACGTATCGGATGCGTGGATACACCATTTTTGAAAAAGCGATGACACGGGATACACGGCTGGTATACTTTAATAATATACTTAGCAACTAAATAACAAACCGATTGTAAGTTTCATGAGTTCAACAAATAGATATCTAGGGTTCAACTTAAATTACAGAACAAACTAATGCAGCGATTTAATTTAAAAAGGTGAAATAAGGAGCATAGAGACCTTACGAGAAAATTCAATTATGACTCAATTTTCTTCTCCGGCCTCTGCAATTTTATTTTGAAGTTGTTGAAGAACTGCTTCTGTCACATTGGGGCACACATTGATTCCACGTTATGAATAGGAAGCAAATGTTGATTTAATTGTACAGTAGGATACGAGGATGACCACACAGTATTTGCATCTTAAGTGCGCGATTCTTCCAACACTAGTGGTGGCGCTGTAGATGCTGCACCAGGCGACCTCCCGTGACGGCGATGGGATGGATGATACAGAGAAAATCAAGGAGCCAAATCAGAGTATTAGAATGGAGCAGAAGATTCAAGGCTTCATGCCGGTCAAATTCTGCCAGAGATGGAGCTCGCCGGCCACCGGCCGCTGGATCCAGTCATCCCGATAGGCGCGTGAGAGAGGGATGTCCCGATGTACTAGCTCATGGCAGCGCGCCTGTGACTGCCGATTGCGGCGAGGGGATCGAAGGTCACACGGAACGAGCGGGCCTGGAGGTCTGTTTGACGTATTGGGCCGTATCCCATGCCGCCCAACCGTATCCGATACAAGTATCCAAGCCAATACGTATCTGATTTTTGAGACACACCTGGGATACGTATCCAAGACGTATCCGACGCGTATCGGATACGCGATACGCTACCCTCTAGAAGTATCCGCGCATCATAGCTGGCAAGGTACCGCTAGAGTTGTACATATACTCATGCATAGCAATAGACATCAGAAGTTTAGTTCTCCACACCCGAGCAGAGTTTTGGCCAACGTTGGTGCTTGTTCGGTGTGTGTGTTGTTCTCACTCCTTCTTCAACCTCTAGCCTAGTGTGAGTGTGCGAGAGTGCCGGTGAGCGGATTGCTCACCCTTGCAAGAGATCTCGGGCCAACAAGTGATATCAGAGCCGAGGTGGGTGTTCGCATGCGACGATGGAGGGCGACGACAGTCAGGACGGTGGCGAAAAGTCACCACGGTGGTCCCGGTCACTGGTGCGTCGCGAGGTGGTCATCCAGAGGGCCGTGCGAGATGTTGGCAGAGCCAACTGGCCGGTCCTCACTCGCACCAACTATGGTGAGTGGTCGATGACCATGAAGGTCAAGCTCAGAGCCCGACGGCTCTGGAAGGCGGTTGACCAGGGCACCGAGGATGAAGAGGAGGACTGCTCGGCGCTGGAGGCAATCCTAGCCGCCGTGCCTCTAGAGTACTGGGAGCCGTTGGGGTTGAAGGACTCCGCCAAGGAAGCTTGGGACGCCCTCAAGGCCATGCGGGTCGGGTTCGACCACGCAAAGAAGGCGAAGGCGCAGCAACTGCGGCGGGAGTAGTACGACCTGGCGTTCTGCGACGGGGAGGCGGTGGAGGACTTCGCCCTCCGGTTGCAGTCCCTCATCAGCCAACTGACGGCTCACGGCATCGTCATCGACGATGAGGAGGCAGTCTCCAAGGACTCGGTGATCTGACCAATCTGAAATTACTTAAAATTGATTGGCCATGCTCTACTGAATTACGTGATATGGAGGATCACAAGGAAGCATGTATCTCAACGCTCTCCAGGCTGTTCAGGCACGTGCGAGAACTACGTGTGTGCGTGGCAGAGTGATCCTGATGCCACATGTTCATTCATGGCTTCGTGTTGAAAGGATCAAGATCCCCAAGAGGGGGGGTGAATTGGGCTAATTCTAAATTTCTTTGCAATAATTAAATCCTATGGTTAGCCCAATTAACCCCTTTTGCCTAGAAAGTGTTTCTAATTGTTCTACCGCACAAAAGACTTACAACCTAAATTCCAATCCTACTCTAGCATGACAATTCTATGAATGTAAAGACAAGAATTGAATTGCTCAAAGTAAATGCTCAAAGTAAATAGAGAAGGAGGAACGCGGCGATGTTTTGCCGAGGTATCGGAGAGTCGCCACTCCCCACTAGTCCTCGTTGGAGCACCCGCGCAAGGGTGTAGCTCCCCCTTGATCCGCGCAAGGATCAAGTGCTCTCTACGGGTTGATTCTTCGACACTCCATCATGGTGAATCACCCACAACCGCTCACAATATGAGTTGGGTCATCCACAAGCTCTCCGGATGATCACCAAGCTCCCAATCACCACCAAGCCGTCTAGGTGATGGCGATCACCAAGAGTAACAAGCACGAACTCTCACTTGACCACGACAAGCCTAATGAGAAGGGTGGATGCACGCTTTGCTACCCTTGATCTCACTAATGAGGGCTCTCTTTGGGATTCTCAAATCTCAATCACCTCACTAGGACCTTGCTCTTCTTGGCACTCTCTAAGGTGTTTCTCAGCTGTTGGAATGAGCAAAAGTACCCCCACACACGAGTAGAGGTTGTATTTATAACACCGGCTAAAAAATGAACCGTTATGTGCCTCTGCGGGGTGACCGGACGCTCCGGTCAGTACACCCCGAACTCCAGTGTTTAAAGTGTGACCGGATGCTGGCCAGCGTCCGGTCAGCACTGACCGGACGCGTCCGGTCGTGATTTTCCCTCTCTGGAACCTTACTGGAGTCGACCGGACGCTGACTCTCAGCGTCCGGTCACTTCACCTCTCAGCGTCCGGTCGCGCTAGACGATTTCACCTTGGTGAAATGAACTGACCGGACTCTGCGCCAGCGTCCGGTCAACCCAGAACCAGCGTCCGGTCAGTATTTGACCCTCCATTTACTTCCAACTCTCGATCATACGTGAATGAAGTTTGCTCCATTGGATCTAAGGGCTATTTTGAAGCTACCTAGTGCTAGTTTTAACAAGTGTACACCACACCTAACTCACCTAGGTCAAGCTACCCGTCCATACCCTCCTTAATAGTACGGCCAAAGGAAAAACAAAGTCCCAAACTACTCTAAGTGTCTCTTCAACCCCATTTGACACTTATAACTAGTCCATCCTTAACCTCGTCGTCAATCCTTTGAAAACCAAAACGATTTCCATCGTCGGGGCATGATCACCATGATTGCCCAATCGATCTCCATTATCGTGACCTAACTTAATTGCCTCTGCAAAACACACGTTAGTCACAGTAATTACGTATTGTCATTAATCACCGAAACCCAACTAGGGGCCTAGATGCTTTCAATCTCCCCCTTTTTGGTGATTGATGACAATACCACCTCGAGTATGTGAAAGAGATGAGGTTTTTAACATGCTTGGTTTATATAAGCTTTTGGCAATAAGAACAAAAGTGTTAGGCAAACTTATATGACCCAAGCTTTTGGCAATATGAAATAAGCATGAGTACAAGTAATAAAGCTCATTTGCATCGGAGTAAAACGCGGAAGCAAAAACAAATGAGCATAGCACAAGTGATATGACATATAAATAATTCGAAGTAGAGAGCACACATGTCATATATCACGATCACGTCGATATCACTATCACATAAATAAAGTTTAATGCATAAAAGTAAACACACGACGAATGCATAATAGTGTATCACACATAATGCATAATAGTGTATCACACATAAAACTTCAAATGTAATAGATAAGCTAATATAATAACTAAGCTCCCCCTAGATGTGTCGCTCCCCCTAAGGCTAACATACTCGAACCCTCTCCCCCTTTGGCGTCAAACACCAAAAACTAAGGGTCGGTCGGCGGGGCTGCAGTGGATGAGCCGGGCGCTGAGGTACGAGGAGCGAGCTAGAACTGCATGCCATCATCATCTGACCCTGAGCTCTGAGCTGTCTGACCCTCTGTAGCGGGAAGCGATGCTGAAGCAATCTAAGTAGTCTCGAGCCTCCAATGCCCTCGGCATGGGACCTCCGCTGGGTACATTCTTAACTCTCTGATTATCGTACTTTGCGTACTTACTGTATCGATCGGTATGTCATACTTGTATGCTGTAGCATTTGTTAGTGATATACACATACACATATATGTCATCATGAACCTGCTGATGTTTTATTTCTGGATTAAATTGATCATAAAAATGCCTAATTATCTAACAATCCAAAAAACTAATATTAGGCAATTTTCTGTCAGTGGTTTTGTTGCTACTTTGAAGCCAAATATCTTTGAGGGCAAGAATTTCATGATATGGCGTGCAAAGATGGTGTTGTGGTTGACTGCTATGAACCGCTATCACGCCGCACAGGGGAAGCCTGAACAATTTACTCCTAAGGAGGAGCA